TTCAAATTAAACTGTGCAAATGCATTTAAATATACATATGAATATTTTATAATATTTGCCTACATAAATAAATATCTAATACATTAATATTGAAATTCATTGTGTAGTGTTTATCTCGAATATTTCATATTAATAAATGTTTTTGACCGATATGTTATTGAAGATTTATGCTATTATATTCCAAGAGGAAAATTTTGCGGTTTATATATTCGTATATAAGTATTTAAGTAAATCTACATTCTCCTAGACAAACGAACAATAATCGGAATATTTATTATAGCTTTTATTTAAAATCTTTCATACTTCAGTAGTATTTATTCAACAATGTGACATATTACTCATTTCTTTATATTACGTATGTTCGAATAATCTATATTTAATAAAAATAATCATATATTTTTAAATATTGGATATAAATTACGAGTTTAAAAGTAATTTAGAGAATTAGTATAGATTAAATAAACAGAGGAGCTTATTATTATTTTCAATTTAATACTTTGTAATAAAAAGTACAATATAACGTTTTTATTTTGATATATTACGTGTATCGTTATCGTAAATATATCATTTCAAAGTTAAAGCTATTTATATTCGGATATAGCACATTTCATAATAAATACATAAGTTTTAATTATCTACTTAGTAAAATACATACTTAAGTTTCTTTATTCTTAGATATTTACATATATACACACATTTGTAAAATCTATCACAAATAATTATAATATACATACTTAATGTAAAAGTAAAAACAAAAATTTTATTTTGAATATGTAAAACACTCTAAATTTTATGAAACTTAATTTTTTTTTTCTAACTGTATCTGTATTACTCATAAAGTTATTTTTACTCACTTTGATCTCATTTCAAATTTTAGCATTTCGAAATATTTCATAGCGCAATGCTTGCATAATTCATATAATTCATAAAAATATTATCCATTACAATACACTCGCAGAAGATCTGTAACACAGACCAAAGTTCAATGTCTGTTATTACTTTTAACGATTTCTTGGAAAAATTAGATTTTCATTGTTTCTAATGTTCTGTTAAAAATAACACATATATTTTTAATAATATTTAGTATTATAAACAATCGTTCTCATTAATAAATAGATCTTATTTGGAATAATAATAATGATATTTAATATGTACTATAGAGCTGTAGAAGTAATGCAGATTGATAAATTATACGTTGATAAACATAAGTTATATTTGGCTTTCACTGCAAGTATTCTAGAATAATATCATTAAGCATCTTCTTCGTGTTTATATTATTAATAATAACTTAAGCCTATATAAGCTTGTTTTTAATATGTCAATTCACAGCCTTACTTTGTCAAGACAAATACATATGTATATATATATATATATATATATATATTCGTGTTGTTCATAGATTATTGCTAATAATTTATTGATAATATTTCATTAAAACTAAACTTAAAATATCTTTTAGGAATTATAGACACAGAATTTTAAATATATACTTTTTTCTTCGATTGTTTACGATTAATTTAGAATATTTGGTTGAATGCGATTAGAATTATGTTCGATCTAATGCTCACATAATCATTCTTATGAACTTGTCCTTTAAAATATATTCCGAAATAAATTTACTGTAGATCGTAGCTTTTTAAAAGTCAAATTTAAAGTGCTAAGCATTAAGATATTTAGTAATATCGTATTTATTCGAACGGTTTGAAACTTTAAAACTATTGTAGTATTGAATAAAATTAACATTGAAAGTACTTTGAAAAACAATATTTCTTAGATAAATTATTCATTATTCTAATCATATAGTTTTATTATTGATATGTTATTATAAAATTTTAAGCACGTTTATTTTATATAATATTATGTGTTATATACACATTGTAATTGAAAAATATAATATTATTTGTTATCTATATTTAATTATTCCTTTGGACTTAAAATACCACGCAGAAAATGTCGAAAAAAAAAAATAATAATCTATAGTTTTGTAAATTTAATGACTATAGATAATATGTGTTAGAATATTTTACTAAACGTATAGGCACACACGCGCGCACACGCATATGTATTTATTTGATAAATTAAATATTTTCACGCGTAAACAATGAATATACTATAAAAGATAACCGTACAGATTTATGAATTTAAAATTTATATGTAGATTAAAGGAATTTTTTATTTAATCAATAATATTATTTATCAATATTTATAACTTTATAAAGTAAAATAAAAAATATATAAATTGAATAGATGTTAAGGTAAAAATTCAACTATCATGTATATTAAGTCAATAGGGATAGCGAAATTCATTGTTGCTAATTGAAATGGTATTATTGACCGATATTGAGTTGCCGTAGCTTATCAGATAACCGAAATACGATAGATTTTTATAGAACTTCGGTTCACCGCATTATAATTGTATTTCTCGTGAATTTTATAACTGTCAATAGAATTTATATACATAAAGTAAGTTGTTATTGCGCTTTCAATTCTATCTATTACGGCATTACTTTCTGCCAATTAAAAATGTAATTTATAAAGTATAAAATAAAATAAAAATGTTTACTTTCACATTATGATCTTTTCCTTTTTCTTTTTTCTTTTTTTTTTCTTTTTTTTTTTTTTTCTTTTTTTTTTCTATATATAATTTTTACCAAAACTGATTTATGCATTTTAAATAATATTGTAATGAAGAGTTATTGTAATGTCTTGCATATTATTGTGGAATTAATGATTGTTAGATATATATTAGAAGAATTTAAAAGTCTAAAGTTCCAGTGATCTTCAAAGTAGAAAGTTACGTTCCATTCGATTTAGGATCACCGAATTTTTTAAGATGCGCTAATAACGCGATATATTTATCGATATATGTTGTGACGAAAAAAGCTATGTCCTTTTCAACATTGTTCATCACTTACCACCTACATACACCTTATATTTCTAAACACATTGTATTAATATTTGATATCTTTATATATTGTAGACTAGGTATGCAGTATATACTAATATATAAATTATGATTTATTATTATTATTGTCTGTTTGGCTATTAATATTCAAAGTTACTTACACTGTAGTCCACTCGGTTGACACATGTCGTATAATTACTCCAAACTTTATGCGTTTCTGGGTGCATGAACCACGTGCCATTTGGTTCACATTCTTTGTGTGCTATTACTGAAAAATATTAATTTTATTATGTCCATTGTGTAATTTCACATGTAGTTATATTATTAATTTTATCATTAACTATACGAATGAAACAGAGCGCAAGTAAATAGAGAGTTAATCATAAATTTAAGTAGCATTCAGTTGCTTATCCACTTATTATACTGATAGTGATATTCTTATTATTTAAATTAGTATAAAATCGTTAAATATTTCTATTATTATCAGATGGAATAGATGGAATAGTAATATGAAAAATTCTTATCGTATTAAGCTTTAATCGAGTTCTTTCGAATCATTTCTCTCGGAAAGTAGAGAAGAATTTGAAATTGAAAAAATTCTAATCTTTAAATTGTGAGCTCTTGAATTATGTCCGAGATATTGTTAAATTTGAAAGCAACGTATTGCGACCAAACGAATTAATAGCGAACCAAGTATTCATTTATTTTAAGAATAGCCGTTCCAATACAACATGATATTATGGCTATTAAATCAAAAAATCATGCAGATATTGATGATGAATATTACATGGACTTTACTATCTCTGCTATCTCGGTAGAAAATAATGCTTTGACGCATACATTACATTAGATTAGATGCCTTTATAAGGAATTTAAGCTATTGATTGACTGCATAAACGTGGCATGGGAGAGAAATTAGTAACGAAAAATATGGAAGAATCTTCGTGCAGACCTATTGATTATTGAACAATGAGGAACACCGATTCGTGAGCTCTCAGTCAAATAAATTCTCAGCTCGCCAACGAAAAACAACGAGCTCCTCTCGGCATCCAATCCACAAAATCGAGATCTCGTTGGTGGCCACCACTCATTGTCCCGTGCTCGAATCTGCTCCATGAGACGTCCCATCTATGCGGTTGAAAGCCTCGTGAAAACAAACGATTCTTGGCCCCGAACATTTCGGTGATAATCGTTAACCCAGCGGTTTTCATTCTCGGTGAGTGAGACATCGGCGGGGGGACTGGGACTCTCTCTCTCTCTCTCTCTCTCTCTCTCTCTCTCTG